TGCCGTAGAAGTCGAATCGAGTTCTGTAAACAAGGGATTTTCCAAGGGAAAATCGTCGAACTCACTTTTGTGATTGAATCATCAATTCAAGCCAAACATTAATCAAATAGGAACAATTTCACTCAAATTATACCTAGACACAGGAGAACTATTGTCGTGAAAGTGTTGTACAATCGATTACGAATTTAGATTGCAGAGAGTTTGTTCTGAGCGCTAAAGGCACTCACGATAGAGCACATTTTGCTTTATTCTAACACGGGAGACCTATCAAACCGCACCGTTGCGTCAGCGCCCAACCGCTGTTTTAACTCGCCCACCGGTGGCACCCCTCAAATTCCTGATATTTGAACCGACACCTGGTGTCAGGTGGCTTAGCCCCACGCTACCACCCTATTCCATGCGCCTGTGCATTTGTTGACCGTCAACGCCAACCTCCCTCCCAGGAGCCCTCTCAAAATGCACCGTTGCGTCAGCGCCCATCCGCTGTTTAACTTGCCCACCGGTGGCACCCTCAAATTCCTGATATTTGAACCGACACCCGGTGTCAGGTGGTTTAGCCCCGTGCTACCACCCTATTCAATGCGCCTGTGCATTTGTTGCCAGTCAACAACCAACCATTATCCCTGGACTCACCGCCAGTTCCCAACCTGCAGCATCCCCCATATCCATGCTCACTTCCCTCCGTTGGCAGACCACCCACCGCCGTGCCCCCGTACCGACGAGTTCCCGCTTACCCGGACCCGTTCCAATCCTGTACGGCAACAGCATTTTTTGCACAGGTTCGAGTGAGACACCGCCCAATTCGGCCAACTCCACCTCCGTAGACCTCCGCACCACACCCACTTTGCGCCACTTGTGTGAGTCCCGTCGCAATTGCCTTCGCCAAAGGCTGGCAGCGCATCTCGGCACTCCGACTACACCCGGCCTTCCGTCTGTAACACCATAACGGCCCACCCTGGCTACTCCACCAGGCATCCTTCCGTTAGGCACTACACCCTCCCAGAACCGACCGTTCCAACCAACAAATTTCATTTAAAATTACCCCCAATAGTCACTATTCGTTTCCATAACCTACTCACAAATCTCCAGTATTGGCCATTTCATTTGAACCAATGCAGACCTTTCCCCCACGCACCCTTGATGCCATCCTCCAGGTCGGTCGTTCTGCTTTGACAACCGTCAAGGACCTACCCCTGGACACTACTAAGGAAAACCTCCTCCTCTCCAACTACTTCCACACCCATGCCGCTAGTGAGTGCAAAAACATCCTCCTCTCCCAAGCGCACGGATTTGCTTACTTTGATGGTGCCGATGGTACCCTCCGGCAAGTCATCTGCGCTAAGCAGGTCGGCCCAAACTTGCACTGGGCATCCGCCAATGATAGCTATGATGCCCCCACCCCAGTTGCTTTTTCTTTAGATGCCCTTGGCAGCAGCGTCATATCTATTGCCCGAGACGACCTCGCTCGAGAATGTCAAGCCCGGCACCTTCATGACGCCCAATACTCTGCCCACACTGCCTTGGCCCCCGATATCACCGACCCTCCCGAGGACATCCACTGGCCCAGTGGGGACGGCGTGTTCACCGAAGTCAAAAAGTTCTTCCCCATCTACCCTGGTGCCAACATCCCACCAAGCCTTACGCTATCCGCCGCCCCACCAGCCAATCTGGAATCCTTCCACCCTCAATTCCGGCTCTGGTACGAGGCAATGAAGTACCTTCACGATCACAATGACTCCCAGAGCCTCCATTCCCACGCCCACATCTTCAGCGCCGACACCATCCCAACCGATCGATTTCCAGACAGCGACCTGGCTACGCATCTGACATATTCCCCATCCACCGTCAGTGCATTTGCAGCTGAAGTCCCCACCTACAAAGCCCTCTTCGAAGAATTCAAACGGCACTCGGCCCTCTCTACTTTAGCATCTACTAATCATGTCACTACTCAAGAAGCTCCAGCAGCCCCCCTTCCAGCAGGAGCCCCATTCGATAGCGAACTTTTTGCCCAGATCATGGCCAATGCTCTCAAAGGCACCAATGCCAGCACCAAGGAAAAAGATCTGGCCCGCACTTCAGCCAGTGCTAAAGACTCTTTCAGCCTGATTTTTGGCCGAGTCAAACCGGTCATCCAGCTTGACGGCTCCACTGTCAACGAATTCCACCCATCCGTCCTCACTGACGACTTTGTCACTTTCTTGGAAATCAGTTCGATCAAAGAGGCCCTACGCCACCTCCATGACACCTTTGCCCACATCACCGACACCCTCACCACTCGGAACAATTACGACCGCAACGTCGACTTCGATATTGCCCTTTTCCAACACGCTACAGTCACTGCCCTCAAAACATGCAGCTTTGGAGTCCGCCCCCTCACCATGCACCCCCACGAAGCCACCTCACTTCTCAGCCTCCTAGCTTGGCTCCCACCGAACAAAAATGATGTCAGATACACCACTTTCCTCTCGGAAGGCCGAGATATAATCCGCCAGGAAGCCATGGAAGAAGACAAGTCCAAGCAAGCCGCGAAAAAGACAGACATCTTTGTTCATGGCGACGTCAGTTCTGTCGAAGCCCTGATCAAGATGTTAGCGAATTTCTTTGCCTTTGTCAAATACTGTGTCAAAGACTTTACCTTCGATGACCCCCCGTTAATTGTCACACTCTTGGAGGATTTCCAGTCCCACACCTCCCATTGTGTCTCCTCCTCGAAATGAACCAGATCTTGCAGATTGTTGTGGGAGCCGCAAAAAACAAAACGACTCAAAGTAAACTTCGTAATGGCCAACCGATCATGGCAGACACGTTCGTGAACGCTTTCAGTGGAGTCACACAAGCCATCAGCCACATCAATCTCTCCATCAGTATGGGCAACCTTGGCCCGTACGGCACATGCCCCAACCTGCATGCTATTCTCACTGGAAAACCAACCCCAGCTCCCAAACGTGAGAGCCCCAATTCCCGTGAACGGCCTGACCCAACCAAACGCGCAAAGCACCCACCTCAAGGAACTCATCCCGGATACCTGACGTACGACGGCCCAGGCCGACTTCCAATTGCCCCTTTCAAATGTAAACACCCCATTACCGGCAAACAGGCAGCCTTCTGTTCCCATTTCCTATTTGCCAACTACCATTGCAACCGCCCCCGCTGCCACAATATCCACTACACCAAACAGTTTGCAGCAACTATGGGATCTGCCGACACCCAGGCATTTGAAAAATTCATTGAAAAAACCCCTGGGGTGACCCGTTTGGCCCCAAAGCCTCATGGTTAGTTCCACCAACTCCATTACTTAAATACCATTCAACCCGTCAGTGACTTACTTTCCACTTCCTTTCTGTGCATTCCTCCCACACCCACTCCAAGTCCCTGAGTGCTCTACATGCATCATCCCTCACCCAAGCAGCCTCGTTTACCAACCGACCCAGCCACCAATGTCGCACCAACCCAACCTGCCCCGCATTTTAACCTCCACCCCTCCACCGAGCCAACCTTCGGCACCGCCCTCAGCACACCACCGGTCCGCCCTGCCTCCCGATTCCCAGTACTACCAATTCACTGACGCAGAGCAAGAAAAATTTGGAGAGCTCCTTGAAGTCTCCGTCCAAGGTCGTTCGTCTACCCCATCCATGACCAAACGCGACCGCGAGACCTGGGCAGCCACCAAACTCCCATCCCCGGTTTTTCTTGCTGTCAATTCTCCGCATGGTAAGGACAGCGTGGACAGGTGGTTCAGTACAGAGCATAAGTTTGAACATACCTGGATATTTTTGACCCTCTTCCACGTGTGCCCATCCATCCATCTCCTCTCCCTTCTCATCCAAGAACACCGCTTTGTGGACTTCCGACCCCTCCAACAACCCATACCACCACAACTGACCCCCAGCGTTGCCATGCATCGATGGAGCCGCATGTTCACCGCATGCTTACTCCACTACGACCTCAGCATCCCAACCGCAGTCCGCTTTGTTGGCAACATCCACACCGGTGCCCATCGCGACTGGCCCACCCTCGAACCCATTCTCCGTGAAGCCAATGTTGACCCCTTCCTCATCACCCAGCTCAAACGCATCTTCCTCGATGGCGCCCCCAATTACGTCAATGCGGAATCGACCGATGAGAACCTGTGCACCTTCATTGCCTACGGTAATCACAAGACGATTTACGACGACGTGAGCAAAACACAAAGCGCAGTCGAAAAAGACATCCTCCGCAACTACCTTCTGGCAGCCAACCCAGCCCTACTTCCATACATCCGAGACGCCCACACTACTCCCCTCGGGTTGGTTGATGCATGTCACGAATATCGCAAACCCCGTATCATCTTTGATGCCACCCACCATCCTTCCCTGACAGCCATGGCAGTTAACGATTTCACTTCTAAAGAAACTGAACCGGAAATCTGCTTCCCGAGGTCATTTCCCAACTTCTTGATCTGGATCTACAACCTTCGCATCACCTACCCACACGAGGAAATCTACATTTGCGACGATGATGTCTCTGGCGCCTTCCGCCATGTCAAATGGAACCCAAATGTTGTTGGCATGCACATGTTCATGCTATTTGGTTTCCTTTTCTTCTGTACGGGTCTCTCATTTGGCGACAACACCAGCCCAGCCCAATGGGAAGTCGTCGCCATGGTCCGCCAGCAGCTTGCCCAATCCCTTTGGTATGCTGCAGTAACCACCATCCCACGAGTCGCAAAATACCTCCCCAAGCTATCCCTTGCTCCCCTTCCAACGCCATCAGACATTGCCGCTTTCACTCCTGCCGAGCCCGACTCTAAGAATCAAGGGGTTTTAAAGGCAGACGGATCCCGCAAGTCCCCGACCTTTGATCACCATGTTGACGATTGCCTATACATCGACGTGGCCCTAGTCTTACGCCAAACCATTTCAGCCAGCATCCTTGCCCTATACATCCTATTGGGATTCCCCAACCCATCCAACGGGATCCGCAATTGCATATCTTGGGAAAAAGTTGCCAACACTTTTTCCCATGAACGCAAAACAGTTGGATGGCTCATCAACTCGAGAAGAATGACAGTACGTTTACCTTCCATCAAACGGGACCGCCTCCTTAAACTCCTTTCAGAAACACTGGCGAATCCGTCCCTGTCCCTTTGCGATATCGCGATTCTTCTAGGGCACGTTTCAACTGCAACCACCGTCTGTCGATGGATATGTTGTTCCTACTTCAACTTGCAACGTGTCCTGAGTCAATTTCTCCGATCCCGCCACCAATCCATCAAACACTACATGAAACGCAACGACAAAGTCCAAATCATCTCCGACCAACTCCTTCCATCCCTCCGCTACCGCCTTGCTTCCCTTATCGGAAAGGAAGCAGCTACTTTCCTATGGAACGCCAACAAACGATTCCGCCTTAACGACCCTGTGCTCCGCGAACTCCGAGCCATCAAGCACAGCCTCCAAACAGAGACATGGGAAATCTACATTCCTCAAATGATCCCTAGAGATCCCCATTTCACGTTGTACGGAGATGCTAGCTTCCTTGGAGGAGGCGCCTATTCTGACGAACTTCTCTTTTGGTTCCGCATCGTTTGGAGCCCCGATATTGTTGCTGGTACAAAACTGAAAGCCAGCAACCCCAACTCCGTCCACATCAACAGCCTTGAGTTCTTGGTAGCCTTTCTCCAGGAAGTTGCCACGGTTGTCCGCCTTGAAGGAACTTCCCATGCCCATCCAGGCCTGGCCCACAAATTCCCCAACGGACTTTCCCAATTCCCAGTTCTGCTCAACCGCACTGACAACACACCCACTGAGAAATGGATGAATGACGCCCGCACAAACAGCCCTTTTGCACGCCTTTTGGTCGACTTGCATGGTCAGCTCCTCAAACG